AGATGTTTAATTTTGGATATAAATTAGATTAGCCGAGTCATTCATTTTGTGAGTATAAAGTAATTAAAATTGAAGTATAATTACTTTTTATTTTAGTTAAGTCAAATCAAATTAGGTTTATGTATCTCTTAAGTATATATGTATTTCATAATATTTATTTACTCTTTATTTTAGTTAAGTCAAATCAAATAAGTTTTATATATCGCTTAAATATACATGTATTTTCATAATATCTATCAAATTATATGTTGATTTCTAAAAAAAATATTAGAAAATAAAGTGTAACTGATAAATTTTTAGATGTTCATGAACATATATATTTTATTATTTTGAAAATATATTTTATGTTATTTAAAAATATATATGAATGGGGATATTACTATATTGTGAACTTTCCTTTTTAATAAATTCATATTATAGACATATAATTTCGGTTTTAATTTTTTAAATAAAATTTAGAAATATTTCCATTTTATTATATATGTTATTTGGAAAAAGGTAAAAAAGAAACTAAATAAAATAAAATTAATAATAATTTTAAAATCTAACAATTCATTAAGGGTATCTATGTAATCAACCATCATGAGAGTTAACGTGAGAGCGACACGTAAGAAACTGACTTCTCAAATAATATTATAGAGATATTTTAAGAAGAAGATAAAAGCCTCGAACTCGCAAGCCCACAGATTAAATGGCTTTAGGTTAGGCCCTATACTTGGGTGGCACGCATGTATATATATAAGAAAAAAGAAAACCCTAGGCAAGGTGTGGTGGTAACTGGAAAGAGGAGATCTGTGTCGGAGATTTGTTAAAAGGTTGAGAGAGAGAATGAGTGGGGAAGATGCGCCGAAGAGGGGCAAAATAGCGGTGTGGTGGGACATGAAGGACTGTCCGGTTCCAGATGGTATTGATGCTCATCGTGTTCGTCCGAGCATAGAAGGTGGTTTCAGGGAACTAGGCTACTCTGGTCCTGTCTCCATCAGAGCCTATAGAGACCACAAACAAACCTCTGAACACCGGCTACGAGCTCTCTCTTCCACTGGAGTCGGGGTGGTACATATCAGATCTGGACAGTCCAATTAGTTGTTGTTATATATATATATAAAGTTTATAGATTTGATCTTAGCACTCATTCAAGTAAGTAACAGTAATCATTCAAGCTCTTATTATTGTGGATATGTTAAGCTTGAGTGCTACTCAAATTTGCATTGCATGTTTATGTATAAATCTTTGAATGTGACAAAGCTTTTGCGCTTCTTCTATATCCCCCCCCCCCCTTCAACTGATGCAAGCACTCTTGCGCCAATTTAGCATCACCAATATTTCCTTATCTCCCTTCACATGAATTAACATATCTTCCTATACAAACTTACTAATCTCGTTCCTTTTATACATGATGACTAAGTAAGTATGCTTCAAGTTTTTTCTATGGGAGATATGCCAATTGGGTTTTATTTAGTTTTCCCTTTTCTTCAACAAACGTGTTTGGCTTTTTTGCACACTTTAACTCCTAAGATTGACGTCTTCTCGTGATTTTATTTTATTTTATTTTGGTGGGATACTGGCCAATAACCGTATCCAAACTATGTGGAGCTAATGACATAATAATAATATTGGTATGCTTTGGTCACCAAGAACACAGTCCAGCTTCCCTGTTCAGCAAAGACATTATTAGATACAGCAAGAGGCAAGTCATTATGAGCACTACTAGATGGCACAATGATTGTCCAATAGACACCCATCTTTACCTCTGATTGATTCAAATATTCGAGTAAACAACTATCAACTCATTCTGCATATACAGTATTGAGTATCATATCATCTGCACTCCAGGCAAAGGCCCTTCTGTGGAGCATTTCGTCAAAACACTTTCCCTGCGTCAGAGAAAATACACTTTCTTGCCGGCCAATCAAAAGCTAATTTGCGAGAAAAGTCTTAATAAATAATGCAGTTGTCGGCCCTGAGATATATATATATATAGCTCTGTTGTTTTTTTTGCTAATCCAACAAAGCTCAAGAACATGGGCATATATATGCTTCGATTAGCTGACGATTGATCTGTCCAGCCGTTGAAAATTTTCAGTAAGGCATCCATCGGAACAAGTGAGCTTAATCATGTCATCACAAGAGACGGACTCGTGCAACAAACAAATCATATCGCACCTACCTACTGTTTTGGGTCAGGCCCATATTTAACATGCGAGACATTCTCGGGCCTGTGTCAATGTTTTTTCTTTGTCCGCAGCCTGTGTCAATGTAAAATATATACATTTTGTTTTGAATTTTTGGGGGGGGGGGGGGGGTGGGGGAAAGTGCTCTCTATACATTCAATGCACGTATTGAACACAAGACCTGTTGACAAAAACACACAATATTCCGATAAGAAAGACGCGTCAGACGGCCGACTCAGTTTGCAAAATAGAAAAACTTATTCTCCTCTGTGACCAAAAACATCAAAATCATAAAGGTTGGCAAAAACAAATAAGAGAAATATTAAATCTAGAAACTCTTAAATCTATTCACAACTTGGTCTGGCAACGCGGGTTTTGGGTAGACTTGGTGAAATAAATTAATAGAGAGGAGAAGATAAATCACATAAGGAGCGACGTGTGCCCTGCACGTCTTATATAATAATGTCTTGTGGGACCTAATTAAATCATTTGTTACTAAAGAAACTCTTAGGTCAACGAATATGCGTAATACATAACCTCCCAAATTTTCTCCTAAATGCAACAACAAAAAAATGGGGAAGATCATCATCATCAACCTATCTGCCATACTCCTCGTATTCTTGTTGGTTTCTACGGGTACATATATATTTACTCAAATTTCCAAGTTTGATCTTGATGAAAAGGAATACTAACTGTTCTGTTTGTATATGAACGATCGATCATTGATAGGATTAATGGATAAGGGAGAAGCGCAAGGGTGTGAGTGGGAATGCAAGGGTCTACCAAACTTCAAGTGTTGGTTAGGTTACGCAGGTCACAAACTTTGCAACGACTTTTGTATCAGCGAAGGTGCCGCTGAAGGCAACTGCTTCCCCCACGCTTGTCTTTGTCGCAAGGCCGGATGCTCCTAATGTGGATATTTTTACCTCAACCCATCATTAAGTATTGTCTCAGTTGTGTATAATAGTCCTTCACATATGTATGTGTCCAAGTTATTATTATCCGAGTGAAAAGCAAAAAGGGAACATATGTATTTTGTTTTTGCTACGGTTGTGTGTGTGGCGATTGGTTGTCGTGAATTTGTGATGAATCAAAAAAAGGTGCAGTGTTCATGCAACCCTCTATATACCACCATACGTATTGATATAAATCATTGATCGCTTTTATTGCTCAGGCAGTACTATTATTACACATGTTGTATAAGTATTCTTCTTTGTGTTTCATTAATTCACTGATTACTAGGTTCGACCAGGAATCCACAAAACCTAGTTAACTCTTGTGTTTACGTTCGCCTCTTCTTCATCTTCACCCTTCAAGTAGTCGTTGTTCATCAGTAGTTCTTCCCAAAACCCGTCGTCGAGTTCCCTCTCCACCTCCTCATGAGTCCTTTGCCGTCCATATCCTTGCATCTCTAGTGCCAGAGCTTCCAGCTCCGAAACGTGTTCCATCGTCTCCGGTTTCACCTGATCGACCGAAGCCTTCTCTAGCTCCTTCCTCTGCTGCTCCAGTAGCTGCTGCTGCAGAAGAGCGGGGTTCTGCACTGCGCGCCTCAGGAAAGTCATCATATGTCTCTGTTTCTTCTCTGCTCCATTGATCCTCTGCTCCATGGCTTGGATGTAGCCTCTCGCTCTCTGCTCCTGCTGTCTGAGCCTCGAGATCTCCATCGCTAAGACATGTCTCTCTTGCCTGAGCTCGACGCAGGGGTCATGACCGTCGCCTTGAGAGTGCTGGAGAGAAGGAGGGGCTGAGGAGGAGGTTCGTCGCTCGATGTTTTTGAGAAGGTCTCTCTGTCCCATCAAGAAACCATCATTCATAAACTCCCATCTCTCTGCCTCAATCTTTCTGAATCCCTGAGAATCAAATACTTATTTTATTAAGATTATTAAAAAGTAAGTTCAAGAATCTGCATGCCACTGTTAAAAATAAATCAGTAAAACAATCTTCAATTTTTTTAACATGCATTGTTTTTATCTTTACATAAAAATGAAATGATGGATTAATGTGTCGCTTGAATGGAGGGAACAAGTGCCTAGTGGAATATGGATAAAGTTTCCAGAACTTACTAAAACTTGGTCTCTTCCCATTTCTACCTAGAAGAGTCTTTTGACTTATTGCAACAACCATTCATGAATCATGGACATAACTCGCAGGAAAGTGGCGGTTAAAACAACACAATATAAGCCAAACAAAATTACCATTTCGCAGTAAATGGAGGCCGAACGCTTCGTCGAGGTCCTCCAAAACTATAAGATCATAGGGGAGAGCACAGAAGTGAAAAAAACAATTGATATCCCGGCAGTAATGACGTTTCAGTGGAGAAACAGAGATACTTACGTAAGTGTTGAGTTGTCTGACGAAACTTGAGAAGTTGTTGTGCTTGAAGTATAGAGGGAGAATAGTCGCGGAGAAATAATGTGGATCCCACACGACAAAACTGATGCCTCCCCTATTCCACGACACAATGTGGTTTGTGTTTGGATCGTCTACCATCTCGAATGTCTTTGTTAGAAATGGACATGGCCCTGGTTCTTGCAATCCTTCCATAGGCACCGGCATTGACCACGCTCTCGAACTTGCCGACGGCTCCATCCTTTCTTTTTGGTCAACAATACACCTCCTCCGATGATGACAGCTTTGACCTAAGATTGTTTTTTCCGTAAGTTTTAGTGCAAAGGACGTAACGAATCATTTGGGTTTCTAAATTACTGAGACCAACGACAAATAATCAAAACAAACCAAAAAAAGACGCGCGAAGTTCGTCTTTTAAAAATCACAGCACTCTACTTTTGGTGTGTGTTAGTTTTTATGGTAGTTGAGGAAGAAGATGTGGTGAAGAAATCGTCCACGTATGTGCCTTATAAATAGATACATATATACGAAGCTGGTGTCAACTTTTTTTGCAGAACTTTCTAGAACGAGTACAAGACAAATGGGGGCACCGTGCACCTGCATTTCCTTTCTTAGAACATTCCGGAACTTTTACTTTTGCGGATAAATAGGGCAAAATTGAACTTGGGATCAATGATTTAACTTAACAATGCACCGAGATTATTATTCAAACTATGCTATTTTTTACACTAAAAAGCGACATTTCATTGCACACAATTTCACAAATTAAAACCTCTGTAACAACCTTATAAAGTTATAAGTCCATTTTCATATGATCACATCTAATTTATTATTTATAATATACTCCAAAGATTAAACGCATTCCAAACTTCTCCAAATACACCAAAACAAAATTTAATTTACCTGTATTATACATATTTACTCTACCAAAGATCTTTTCCATTTTCTACCTCAAATAACACTAGTATATTGCATTACTCTTCTTTTTCATTTCCAACCTCAAATAACACTCGTATAGTGCATTACCTGTAATCTCTTATTATCAGCTTTATAGTTTACATTCTTATATCATTTGATACTATTCTATCTGCTATTTTATAGGTATACATGATACACCCACTCTGTGTCTAACCTTAAATATAAAATTATAAAGTAAAATCAGTTTTAAATTTGTGTTTATATAAATGTATAGACATCGGTAAAGTGAAAACACGATATACACAAGTTGACTGGTACATTTGTAGTTTTCCTAAATAGAGTACGCTCCAAAGTCGAAACTCCCAAG